GATAACAATGTTAATAAAATCCTATAGAAATCGACAGCTGTGTTGTGTGAATTCACTCGTGTAATTATTCTAATTGTGTCCTCGAATCGTGTCTCCTTTGCCATTTGTATCGCGACGCTTGTTTATCGCGGCAATTTTATCGGCGCGGCCGCGCCGTTCTGGATTTCTCGTTTTGCGGTCATTAAAGCCGAACCACGCTGATGACTACGGCCGATGCTGCATTTGATGGAAAACCATTCGAGAACGATCGCCGTGTTTGTTGACGCTGATTATTTGCTGCTCGCCAAATATTATAATTCTGCGGCTAATAATCAGTCGCAGATTACTCCCGTTGAAAACAGAAAACTATATGAAATTGTTCACACTAGTAAATAAGTATTTTATTAAAAGGAAAGATCACAATGCATTTTGATCTGATTTGTAGTGAAATGAACTGATGTTACATTCTAATTGATCAATGAACTGTTAGTGATTCACAAGTTAATATAGTTTTCGCAACTTAGGGACACAGGATATCAGTTCACCCCTTGTCATGTAGAATAACGCAATCCAAAAACTGTAGAAGAAAGTTTTTTAATGATTCTTACTAAGACTGTAGATGCATTTACAGGAATATGAAAGACTATAAAAATGCAATAAAATTTAAAAAAATGCCAATGATACCTGTGTTTTATTTTTCACCAATAAATCCTTTACGTTGAGCTCTTCAGATTAATCTATGAGAGTATGAATGGTCATAAACATTCGTAATCTGGTGAAACTATTTCTGTCTCTTCCTGTATCTATAGACAACAGCAAGGTCATGTTTGCGTTTTATCATTTCTGTTAACTTTTCACGTTAGCGACTGGTCTGCAGCTTTGATACTATGGAAAATGATAATATTGTTCTCGTACACGTCGTATCTTTTTTTATGTTTTCCTTCACTTTACAATCTTGTAATTAAAGTATAGAGTGTTAAATGATATTGTTATCTAGTGTAACGAAGATTTTCTAAAAATTTACGCGGCAATTTACACTGTTTCAATGTCATCACTGATTTGAGTTAACAATGCGTTAACGTTATTCTCTTGCATAGATCTTTATTTACGAATAAGTAGAAACGAAATAGAAAATATATAAATTATATAAATGTGTTCTATTTCGTAGCATATCCTTTTCCTTTTTTCCGTTATTAGCGACACGGGTAAGAGAATTACAGGTTGCTGTACAGATTGGCGTGTTTTAGATAAAACAATAAATTTTGAATCGATATCTTATCCTTTAAGTTATTGATCAGGGTGTGACCTTTCATAAATTGCTATCTCATTATGGAGAATTTTCTGCATATAAAATATGTTTCTCTGTTAAGTCCACCATGTACAGTTCACAGTTAGAGGTGTCTTCTTCTTAAAAAAGTATTGAAGTGAGTTTTGAGTATTTTATTATGATTCTTGGAATCACAACTTGTACAAGTTACGAAAAAATATGAGCATATTTAAATGACCTAATTTCCTTATTAAACCTTGTACATGCCATCTTCGAACATTAATCAATTTATGCAGTTTCCCTTTTATTCCATGTTTTTTTCAATTTAGGTATTCAATTTAAAACATTTAAAAATTATAATTATTAACATTATTTTTTATCAAGTTTCGAATATAGAACAACGCTATACTTAAACTGTACAAGTGCAAGATATTATAACATTTACCAGTAGGAATATTTTAGTTACGATACTTCAAATAAATATCATTCGTTGAAACTCAAAGAAGGAATAAGAAAAAACTTCTTAAAACTTTAAAAATTTGTGAAAAGTAAAGGCTATTTCATTAAAAGAATATTTATTAAAGAATATTTATTAAAGAATACACAAGAGTGTTTTCCAAGCTTTAATGAAACAGGGAGGAGCATCTTTTTATTAAAAGTAATACTGAACTCGTGTTCTACACCTTCATATGTAGAACAAGAGCACGTAAAAGTTTACTATGTTTTTTACTTTAATTAATTTTTCTAATAGTACTAAACCATTTAAATGTGAATTATTTCAAATGCGTTGTTTTTTATATGCTAATACTATATTTTCAATCGAATTAAATGAGATTATAATAGTTTATATACCATGTGTGCAAGAACACCATTCATAAAATAAAAATGAAACAGTAAATGTTTTTATATTTTTTCTCAAATTTCCATTAAAAATATTTAAGTAGGTTTCTACGTCGGATATTCCATTAATGAATATTTATCAATGAAGATACACCTTTACGCATGCTCCAACCACCTGTGTTTTACCATATGTCGGTCATTTTACAAATCCATTTCCGTATTATATTTCCTCTATATTAACATTTCCCTCGTATTTAATTTAAAAATTCAAAACACTTATTAGGAAATTCGCTCACAACTTCTACTCGTATCATTTTATTAGTTTCGCTAATGTACGGTTTCTTCGAGCGACACGTGCAGAGTATCCAGCACTTTAAAGCACTCTCGTGCTGTTTTCAAGCTAATTTGCCAGCAACCCAGCAATTTTGGGTGCAGTTATTCTTGAATCTTTCTTAATTACATTAATTATTTTTCACTTTTCTCTTTTCGATAATTTAGGTCGTCCATTCAGTAAATGCTTATAAGCATTTAATGTGTCCGCAGACGATTTAATAGCAGTGCCAACAGTAAAACGGTCT